AATTTGTAAGCCAGTTATAAGTAGGATAATGTATATCAGGTGTAGAAGATGGAGGAATATTGTTAGTTGAGGAGAAGATATTAGTTAGAAGTTGTTGAGCTGGTTTGTTAAGATTCTTTTTAGCATTACTGTTAATGTAGACTGTAGTAAATTCAATGGCTTGAATATGATTAATGTTAGTAGTAGAGATAAATTTGATATGATATTTGCCACAAAGACAAGTAATCACAGAGATAGAAGTAGGAACTTGGAAAAAATAAGTAATTTTGTTGTTTCTAAGATTTTTGATTAAACAAGTAGTTGGTTTGACTTTAGGAGAGATAGGATAAGCATTATTGTCATTTTCTTCTTCATAAAGAGCAATTCCAAAATTGTTAGAGAAGTTTTGATAGAAGAAATTAAGGTCTGCAGTATCAGGCTCTTGGCTGCTTAATGTAGGCATTTTTAGATTTATTATAAGTTAAATAAATATTGTATTAAAAACTTAGAGAAATTTCTTATAGTTGGATAGTTAATTTTACAAGGATAAGAGATGAAAACAAGAGTTATATAATTGAGATGTTATAAAAGTCACAATGGTATGTAATTAGAGTGGTTTGGATTACAAATATGGCTCAAGTACTGGTACAAATAAATTTTGTAACACAAATTGCTATATACAATTAATAAGAACCAAATATAGAAATAACTAATTGTGTTTAATGAATTTTTATTAATAGATGGGTTACAAAATTCTGGTATAAATTAATAAAGTACATATTGGAAAATGATAGTATGATTACACAAAAACTGTGTAAGAGAAAAGAGTTTAACAAAAGAGTAAAAAATGAATTTAGCTATAGTTTGGTCAATATTTAGATAAATTCTTCTTTTAGAGCTTATTTTGACAAAACAAGTGTGTACTACAACTTTAATTAAGGGTATAAGACAAGTTATTGCAGTAGAAACTGCAAAAGAATTAATTTTCTAAAATTGAAGATCAAAGGTCATCAGTACAGTTTTCTTTATGAGTTTGAGAGCTAGATTTATAATATTTTTAAAATATATATAATTTACTGAGCTAAACAAGTTTACTTAAGACACCAGAATCGGATGTCTTAGTAAAATAAAAAGTTATAAGAGTTTTTAGACAGACAATTTATTTGTTAATTTTTGTACAATGGATTTGTAGAAAGAGTATGTTATTTTTAAATTTTAAAACATCTATTATATAATACTTATATCAAATTTTTATCATAACTTTAATTAAAGATATTTTAGTAACTACTTAATCAAATTTAATGAAAATTTTTTTATTTGAATTCTATAGATCTTAAAATTCAGACAAAAAATCTTTATTAACTTTGATCAAGTAGTTGCTGAAATATCTTTAATTAAATTGTTTTAAATTTAAAAACATATATTACAAAAAATGATGACAAATTTTTATTATAACTTTAATCAAAGATATCTCAATAATAATTTAATCAAATTTAATGAAAAGTTTTTATTTAAATTCTATAGATCTATAAAATTCATGTAAAAAATTTTTATTAAATTTGATTAAGTCATTGATGAAATATCTTTAATCAAAGTTGTAATGAAAAGTTTAATACAATTTTTTATAATAAACGTTTAAAATTTAAAAAAATTTTGCTCAAAGATATTTTAGCAACACCTTAATCAAATTCAATGAATTTTTTATCTGAATTCTATAGATTTATAGAATCAAATAAAAAAATTTTCATTAAATTTGATCAAGTAGTTGATGAGATATCTTCAATCAAAGTTGTAATAAAAATTTTAATATAAGTATTAAATGATAGATATTTTAAAATTTGAAAATAATATTAATTAAAGATATCTCAACAATCATTTAATAAAATTCAGAAAACTTTTTTTTATCTGAATTCTATATATTTATAGAATTTAAAAAAAAAATTTTATAAAATTTGATTAAATAGTTGCTAAAATATCTTTAATTAAAAGTTTGTTAAAAATTTTGATACAAGTATTATATAATAAATGTTTTAAAATAAAAAAAATTAAGTTCTATTAATAATATCTTAACAACTACTTAATCAAATTCAATAAAAAGGGTGTGGTGACTTAGTGAAGTAGTCAAGTTGTTGCACTTTAAGTGACAAGGTCTAAGGTTCAATTTCTACTAGTGATGAATATTGAAAATTAAAAATCTTGTATGCCTTAATTGGTATGTTAACTTAATTAGGAATGTTGGCTTATTGGTTGTAATTTGTGGTATGAAACCAAGTAAAGTTGGTAACAGATCTGCAGTGATCTGTGTTATAGTATCTATATCTAAAAGCAAATAACTGCAGAAAGTTTGTTCTAATTAGAAATATAGAAGAATACAAGCTGATATATATAGATGTACTTCTGAACATTATAAAATAGTCAGTATAAACACAAATAAATCCATATTAGGTTATAGTAGATCTGTGTTGGGAAATCTACAAGAACACTAATTAGGAAAAACACTTGAAAAGTTCCGAATATGGAATTCATACCTGAAAGCTCATAACTGCAGTAAGTTTCTGATTAGAAATATAAAGAAATACAAACTAATATACATAGATGTACCCTTGAACATTGCAAAATAGTTAGTGTAAACACAAGATAAAACCATATAAGGGTTAATATAAATATGCAGAATGGGAACTGCATAGTTTACCTCATGTTATTACTATACAAACAATAAAACAAAAACACACACAAACCAGTCATCTTTTACAAACACAAATGCAGCTATCACCTTACTAAAAGATACAATTGATTGTAGTTAGTAAGAGAAATGATATATAAAGACAGGCAGTCAAGCCTCTATATATGGAAGACCAAAATAATAATAGTTAGATCCAATGCACAGGGCAGACTTTGGTATTTTGCACAGTAGTAAGAGCTGAGCATATGGTGATCAACCCTATAGAAGACAATTTCAGAAGATCATTCTTAAAATCTTTAAACCTTATGATCTTTATACATGTTTCAACAAATTTTTCTTTTATTACAACTTACCACTTCTTTCTCATAGTCAAACCATTCAATCTCTTTTATAACATATTGACAAATATAACTATAATAATACTATCTTTAACATCACTTTCTCTATTAGCAATACATATGATGAAACTCATATATATCTTTCAAATGACTTTCTCTTACCTAATCATACTGTTATCCATTCTTATCTTCTTTCTATTTTTTACAATCTTCCTCTCAGATCAAATTCCTCTAATTCTAGTTTCATTTCATCTGATTTATTTCTTAACAGTCATACTGCATTACAAGTATTTACATCTACACAAACTTTATGTGACCTTTATTTAAATATTTGTATACACAATGTTAGAGGTTATAATATATTAACTAAAAGAAAAGCTTGACAAAATTATTGTCTTCAAAATAATATCAATATCTCTTGTATTACTGAAACCAAAATCGCTAATAGTACTAATCTTCAATTTCATAATAACAACTTATTCACTTACTTCTGGGCCAATTCAGAAAGTTTAGCAGAAGGTACTGTTATCATGATTCAAAAACACTTATAACCACATATACACAACTGCCAAACACATCCTGATAGAGCAATTACTTTAGATCTATTTTTTAAAAGTGAAATTAAACTCTGAATTATAGCTGTTCACCTTTCTTCTGCCAATATACAAAAATGCAACAATATACAAAATACTGTTATTACATAGATTCAATAAGCTCTTCAACACAACCTTCATCCAATAATACTTGGAGACTTTAATACATATAATGATACCTGTAACTCTTTATCTAAACTTAAACTTATTAATTATTTACACTATTCTAACATGTTTGATCTTGGTGCATATGTTGATAACAAGCACTTTACATGGTTAAACAATACTAGACACAGTCACATTGGGGTGTTAAATGTACTATGTAAATCAAATCAATATGTAATCTTATAGTAAAAATTAATTAGTAATTTTTTGTGTAACAATGACATTGATCTATGTAAAAACCTTAAAATTTGACAAATTTTTTGGTAATTTATTATATTTTTTTAGAAATTTGAAAAAAGCACTCTTTTTTTCTAAAATATAAGGTCAACAAGTAATCATATAAAGTTTCTAAAGAAGTTAATATGCAAAATATTAAGGAGATATGATTTGAATTTTGGTAATTTTTACTATGTTTTTCATATGAAGCTATTGATTTTTGAACTATATCTCCTCAATATTTTACATATTAACCTCTTTGGAAATTTTGCATAATTACTTATTGGATCTTATATTTTAGAAAAAAAGAGTGCTTTTTTGAAAATTTGATTTTATTAAAAAGTTATATAACACTAATTCCAATGATTTTACTGATTTTTAATATTGGTTACAGAAATTTGCATGATCAGTTCTGAACCAAAACAAGCCTGAAACAAAGATTAAATAAGCGAATTTTCGAACTTGCAACTACATTAATAAGAATTACATAAACTGTTTTGATTAAGATATGAAAAAAACTTTAAAGAATTGAGTGATTTATTAAATACTTCACTAGTCACGCATGCTAAGTATTTCAGCTCTTGTTAATAGAATTCCAATTTTTAAACCAATTTGATATTTTTTTACATATTCTAACCTGAATGAAAACATTTTTTTTAAGTTAAATTCTATTTGTATACTGTAATTATAATTGATGTAGTTGGAAACCAGTTATTTTACAACTTGAGTTTTTTGATTGCTCTTTTATATAGAAAATGAAATTATCGATTTTGAAAATTGAGGTTCACGAATACACTTATATCTGTATATTAATTACCTTATATCACATGAACAGAATACATAACAAGCAATAAAAAGCTTATTTACAGTTACTATTAGTACTAAATTGAATATTGCACTTATTCTATTATTTAAATAAACAAGTAATACCATATATTGACATAAAAAAGAAATAACTTTTTTAATAAAAATGTTTAATAAAAAATCCAAAACATTATTTATACCATTACCCAAGCATCCATTGTGTTATGCTAATTTAGGTGTCTTATCTCTTTTATGATCACCAACTAACACCTCACCGTTTCTAAAGAATTGGTCTTGATTAGCATCTGCCATTATAGTATTTACCCAGTCAGCTACTTGTGTACATTGAATAGTACTCTCAAAGATGATCTTCCCTATGATGGTATCCTTGATAAGACCAGGAACTGTTCCAAAATACCATATAGTAGCTATCGGTAAAGGTATTAATTAGGTTAAAAACCATTGGATCTCTTTAGCCATTTCAGCAACATAGTTATATTCCGCATTATCAAATATTTTATGTTCTTTGAACTTAGTAAGCAAATGACTAGATAGAATCTGGGTTGATCTATTGGTTTGGTCAAGAGCATTGTATAAACCACATACTTTTCTTTCATCAATTTTATCTAATTCATAACTAAAAACAGCTTTAATATTGACCAGTTATCATTTAGCATATTTTCATGATTTTTTTTATTTGGTTCATTTGGAATGGAAGTAATTTTGATAAATGCAGAAAATTCAGCACCAGATTTATCAACTTTCACAGAAAAAGAAGATATAATTCTATTATTATAAATATGATTTTCAATATAACATTTATGTACTTCAGTGTGTCTTTTTTTTGAAAGAGAATTAGAATTGGATGCCTTCAAAGAAGAATTATAACATCTAGGTGGCATTTTGATAAAATCAATAATATAATTCTGACTTAAATCTTATTATATAGAAATGCAGGCATTAATACAATAAAATAAATTCACATAATCGAATGTATCATTATAAAATCAAATACTTTTATTGTTAATATGCTTTCAAAGCTTTTTTTCAATTTTAATTGTTAATAATAAAAATTTTGAACTTATAAGCAGTATTGTAAATTTAAAAATATACTTGTAATTAGCTGTTGAGAATGTGTATTTTTAATAATATATCAATACATGTTGCCAAAATAGTGATAGTTAAAAAGCTAATACTTAAAAACTCAAACAAAAACAAGCTGTCAAAACTGTAATAGTTAAGGGTTATGTATTTTAAAGAATTAGCTTGAACAAAAGCCAATTACCATAATAGCTTGATTTATGCATTCTAAAAAGATTAGTACTTGAACAAGAGCCAATTACCCAAACCATATTAGCAAATCTTGATAACAAATTGATATCTCCAATTAGATTCTAAAAAAACAATTTATTCATGTATACAATTGCGCATCTAAATAAATATTTAATAGTTAACAATAAACAAAAGCAATAGTAATATTATAAGCCAGTTAGAGGCTAGTCAAACTTACTGACATGATTAACTGAACTAAAATTATTGGTTTAGTTATTGTCTTTTTCATAATTTTTATTAGGTAATCTGCTTATTGTTTCCTTTGATCATTTAGCAGATAACCATTATCATTAGCTTAAAATGCTAATCAAAAAAACAATAGTTATTTTTACAAATATTTTAATAGTTCAGTTTAATGTGTAGTTAAACATATTTAATGTTTAGATTTCCAAATAATTAATTTCTTACCTCAAATAATACAACTTACATATCTGTAAACAATAGCCAAGTAGTAGTATAAGTTAATTCATTCATGTAAAGATTACATTAGCCATGAATTATATTTTTTTCTTTGTTTGATTAAAGCATTTTGTACTTAATTTTCTAATTATTATAATATCTAGTTTAATAAATTAATTACTTTGTGGTTATCTAATTACTATAAATAAAATGATAATTGTATAAATTTGAATTTTGCTAAAACTATATAAAGCAAATATTTTTAAAGTCATAAAATTGTAGTATTAGTAAATCGATCATATCTATATTATGCTAAAATTATCAAAGCAAAAATGCCATATGTCATTCATGCAATCTCATCGAAATGAAGTACAACAAATTTATAATATAATATCTCAAATTAATCCTGAATTTCTTTCACAAATACATAAAATTATTACTAATGTAGTTAATCATACAAAAGAAGAGGAGGTATTTCAAACTATTCGTAAAATGCCAGAGCCGCAAAAAAAAAATGCATTAAAGTTAATTAAGTTAATGTGAAATCTGAAAGGAAACCATAAAAATGAAATTATCTCTGTTTATCTCCAAAAAAAAGCTCTTGAATTTATCACAGATTCGATTAATTATAGAAATTATGTTGACTTCTTAAAAACTAAAAATGCAAGTCTAACATCGGTAAACCAAAAATTGTCAAAAAGTAATCAAAATCTATTACATAAGGTTCAGTCTATAAGTAGCTCAAATCGGCATCTCAAAAATAAAGTAGAAAAGCGAATTTCAACTATAAGATGATCAATATGTAAATAAAAACAAATAACTCATGAAGAATTTAAGCATCAGATTAATTTATTATTTAAAACAAATAATAAAGAATATTTACCCAAAATGATTTGGCTTTTCACCAAAATATTACAAGTTGAACAAACCTTATTAACTGCTGCTGTAGAATCATTGCATCTTGTTTACAAATTTTTGGTAGACGAGACTTCACAAAAATGGTTAACAGTAACTACATTAAGCATCTGGCATAAAGAAGTTTCACAAATTGAAACTGAATTAATAATAAAGCAAGTTTCCCAATGCTCAAGTTTCGGAATCCTTGTCGATGAGTCAACTCATAGTAAAGTTAAAAATTTCATTATGTGTATTATGTTTTGGGATTATAAAAATAACATACTATCAGTTGCTACAACAAATCTCAACAATTTACACAAATGTACTAGCCAATCTATAGCAGAAAATGTTCTTGCTACAATTATAAACCATGAACTCAATTCAAAAAAATGCTAACTTGGGTAACTGATAACATGGCGTATATGTCTTGTAGTCATAAAGGAGCAATAGTTCAATTTAACAAAAAAGTAAATATAAATGCAACACAGATTGGTTGTGGAATGCATATAATGCATATTGTTTTAACACATTTTGAAGAAGAGGCATTCAGAAAATTATCTTCATTAATTGGTTTTTCAAGAAACCTACAACCCTTTAATTTATTATATCTAGCATGGTTTTTACATAACAGGTATAGTTTGAGTAACAAGAGTAAGCCTCTTAACATAAGGTCAGAATATATCCAAAAACTATATGATGAGTTGTTAGGGTTTCATTTCTTACAGTACCAATTACCAATTAGAGAACAGTAGGGCTATGAACTACATGCTGCTAAACAATATTTAGATCAGCATACAGCACATTTAGAATTTGCAAATTGGTTCATTAGGGAACTTAAAAATCATCGTAACATACTGACATCATATCTTTCAGATTAGCGGCTGTTTAAAGAATAGCTTCTAAATGAAAAATTAAATATTCATGTATGTTAAGATCAAATGTTAAAAAAAATCAATTAACTGATTAGTTGACAACTAATCGATTAAAAAATTAATTAATTAGTTGCAACCAATCAATCAATTGATTAGTTACAACTTATCAATTAATTGATTAATAAATTAGTTGCAACTTATCAATTAATTGATTAATAAATTAGTTGCAACTTTTAACTAATTAAAAAAATTTTAATATTTTGTATTATTATATTTAGATCAATGTTTGGTCAAATTTGGTAAATACTTCTATGAACCAATTATGCAATTCATGGTCAAAAAGGATCCAATACCTTGCATCAAATTAGACAACCATTTTATCAGAAAAATTTTAAAAGTGATATATATCATTAGTAATTCCTAGATTACTAATGATATATAGCACCCCTGCCAAGTATCATCATTAGTAATTACTAACGATATATAACAAAATTTCATTAAATTTTTTTAAACATTGAATTTAGTTTTTTTGATAACTAGTGATTCAAATCGATTAATATTTTTACTGTAAATAGAGTATACATTCAACTATATTATACTAAAGTTCTAGCCAATTTGATTTAATTGTTCTTGAGAAATTGCTTGTAAACAATAGTTAATTTTTTTAAAAAAATCAACTATCATTTATAAGTGTTTCTTAAGAACAATTAAATCAAATTGGCTAAAACTTTAGTATAATATAGTTGAATATATACTTTATTTACAGTAAAAATTTCAACCGATTTGAATCACTAGTTATCAAGAAAACTAAATTTAATGTTTAAAAAAATTTAACAAAATTTATACAAATTATTACTTATCGATAGTGATTATAATTATTTATAATTGTTATACATCAATAATCATTATATCACTAGTGATATATATCGATATATAACAATTAATTGATATATATCAATTATTTTTAATCAATATATATTGATTTAATGCTATATATCAATATAAATCTGCTTAAAAATTTTGTTGATGTTAGACAAACTTCTAGCAGGTTAGCATGCTCATAAAATGCCTGATATAACTAGTAAATGGATCAGTTTTTTGTATAATCTTAAAGAAAACTTCGATATATTTTTTGGGGATGAATTGTTAATGGCTCTAGAAACTTTAAATGAAGTGATTTTAGTAAACTTTTTAGTAGTTTAGAAAGAGAAGTAAACAAAGCATACGAACATTTTTTAAAGTAGATTTCTCCATGGACATATTTACCATTATTAATCTGCCATTTGGGTAGGAATTCTGACCATGAATTTGTGCAAGCATTCTATCATGTTGTATTACAATCACTGTGGCCTTCAGAACCAACAGAATGTGAAATAGAATTAGTACAGCAATTAAATAAGGATTTTGAGCATCTAATAATACTTTTAGTCTTCGAGAAAAATTGTTAGATTTCTTAGAATTTAGAGTTGAGTTTCAAAATTTTTGCTTCACTTCAGGTTCTAAAATTCATGAATACTCATTATTATATAAATTTGTTTAAAATGAATTTACTTCATTATAATCCATCAACAGCAAGTTAAAGAACTCTTTACAAATTGAATTTGAAAACCCATCCAAATATAACAGTCAAATTAAAACAATCAAAATTACAACTTTCATCTGGAAATATAGATGAAAATAACATTATCTCAGGACTAACAAACATTCATATAAAACATAAAAAGCAATCACAACAAATCATACAAAAAAATATAAAAGCTTATGGAGAAGAGGAGGCAACTAAAATGTTTTCAAATTTATTTTAAAATTAATATTTAGAATAGAAAAAATATACAAATTGCTTTTTTTATTAATAAACTCTAAAAAAAAATTGGTATATCATTTTTAATATATGACTATACATAAATTTGATCTACATAGTACATTTAACACCCCATAGTCACATTAATTATATCTAGACTGATTCATTTAATATTCAATTCTTTCTTTCATACAAACTTGATAATAGAAATACCTTAACACCTAGTGACTACTCTATTCTTATATCTACCTAAACTTTTACTAATGTATATAGTAAACCTCCATGTCACTATACTGGCATCAGTTACAGAATCTTTAATTACAAAGTTATGTCAACTGAAAAATGAACAGAATTTTCTAATCTTTTCTCTTACAATCTTAGTCTTTACAATACACCACTCAATAGTAATACCAATAAAAGCATTAAAACTACTTGGCATAAGATTGAATATTCAATAATTAACATTGCAATACATTCCATTTCCAACAAAAAAACTCATAAATGCAGCTATAATCATCAATATTCTTCTAACTCTACCTTAATCTACACATTACTTAAAGAGCTTAGGCATCTAATAAAAATTGTTAAAAATACTCACAAT